GGGGCAATGGGTAGAAGCTGGAACATAGGAGTTTCCCCAAAAATATTAGGAAAAGCTTTTTCGCTGTGAGGGTGCCAGAGCCCTGGCACAGGCTGCCCAGGGGGGGTGTGGCGTCTCCCTCTCTCGAAACATTCAAAACCTGCCTGGACGCGTTCCTGTGTGACCTACTGTAGGTGATCCTGCTCTGGTGAGGGGGCTGGACTAGATGATGTTTTGAAATCCCTTTCAACCCCTAACATTCTGTGATTCTATGAAAATATTCTGAAATAATGTATGCTGTTGGCATTGTATTTGTTTAATGGAACCATCATCTCATTTGTGGTCTGGATGCCAGATCCCCTCAGCTCTGTTTCTGAGTTTTAATACCGAAATCATTTACAAGACAAGATCCATATTTTAATTCATGCTATATAATCTTAAGGAGAACATATTGACTTGCTATAATCAGCTCAAAATGTCATTGCAGAAATATATTCTGGGTTGTTTGCCTGTGTTTTTCTGTGCGCAGTACCCTTTTTTTTGATGGAATAATTTTTTTCTTGTCATTCCGATGAACTAGTTGTATATTGCTTAGCATGTATAGTACCAACATTTTACTGTGGCAGAGAAGAGCTTTTACATCAGCCACACTTTAATACTGATGTTATTTTTTCCAGTTGAAACAGAGTTTGAAATAAAATGGATGGTAAAGGGACGTAAGAGATCATTTATCGGGTGCCTTCCACTTCTAAATTAATAATTGGGGAGTGGGGCTCAGAACATAAAAATGATAGAACTATTCAAGTCAGACAAAATATCATTACACTTAGGTAAGTGTACAATGAGTATTAAATTAGGTGAGTGTTCTTAAATATTCTTGATGTGAAAAGGTCTGAGGTGGAGGGAGTGTAGAATTTTTCCCCATATGAAAAGTTGTTGTAAATACACTTTACTTCAGTGGGTTTTGTTGGAATTTTTTTTTCTTGCTGAAGTTTCTTTTTGTCCTCCTTTTTTTTTGATAGATACAATGTTACCAACTCTGATTCATTACACTTATCTGGCTTTAAGATATTTCAATGGTGTCTTGGTTTAAAAGAAAAAAAAATCCAACACCTTAAACCCCTATATTGATACATTCTGCTTTTTCGTTAGACCTGCCAGTGTCACTGACACTCAGTATCAGCCTTATAATAAGGACAGCAGTGGGACTGAGACTCATAGAAACAAGCTCTTCTGTTATAGCAACAAAACTTGCTTGGAACAAAAGTGAATTCTGATGTTAAGAAGTAGCTTTCTGTGACATAGTCTCTTTATTGTTTTTGTAAATGGAAGGATACTTCTAATCCCTGTTGCCTCTCTCCTAATTTTTGGATTTGTAAACTAATTTAAAAATCAGTTTGTCTAAATGTGGAACTAAATTTTTCCACAGATTTTTATTTAATGTATTCAATTTTCATTTACTGTATTCAATTTGTTACATCAACTAATTCCACTTACTGTCTGCACATAAAAGTGACAAGTTGTCATCTGAAAAGAAATTAGATTGCAAAAGCCACAAGGTAGAAATGATAGAAACCTAATTCACAGTTTCCTGGCTCTTAATTCATGGTTTCTGAATTATACAACCTCCCAAATTGACTAATAAATGTGTGTATACATATATACATACATATATATATATATATGTAAAATGTATATATGTGTAAAATAAAGTGAGGAGTGCTTATCGTTTGATGAAGACCTTTACTATGTGGATAATGATGTAAAAGAAAAACACTAATGTGCATTTACAAAAAGTGCCAGCACAAATTATGGAGGCTAAATGTTTCAGGTTGTTTTGAACATCAAAGCAATCTCACAGTGTCTTGGGCTTTTTCTTTTTGTTGTTTTTTTTTTCAGTGGGTGCACTCTTTGCTACGAATCTGTGCCATCATCAGTGTTATTTCTGTTTGTATGAACACTCCAAAGACCTTCGAGCATTATCCTCCTCTCCAATATGTGACATTTGCTCTTGATACTCTGTTGATGTTTCTTTACACTGCAGAGATGATCGCAAAAATGCACATCCGTGGGATAGTTAAGGTAAGCATTTAAACAGTGTTCTGCATGTACTTAAGAAAGTGATCTGAATATATGATGGTGATGTTTGGTCTTTTTTAACTTCTCAGCTATTTTTGCTATGATTGTTTTTGACTGCAGACAACACCATGATGTCTAAACTGAAAGGATAGATTGACAAAGATGCAGCTTTATTGCATATTTAATTCCCCCCAAATATAATACCAACATTCATAATAATACTTTCCTACTAAGAAGTAGTTTCATTGTATTAATATAAAGAATGAAAGGAAAAATAAGCTACGTACACATTAGCAAGAGTATTTTGCAAATGTCTGGAGATGCATATATGGACTTAGAACTTTGATTTTGATTTCAGAAGGCAGACCATATTGTTGTGTGGTTACTTTGTTTAAATAAGAATATGTATCTTGATGTGAGCTGCATGAGAAAGTTATCTTGCTCTAGTGGTTATTTTCCATAACATAATGCATGTTTACTGTTGTTGCTGGACTAATTTGTGTAAGTAGATATGATATTGCTGAATGTAAAACTGCAGGATTTTTTGCTATCATCGTTTTATAGCAGTATTTTACTGTAAAAAAGATACAAATTCAGCTTGCTTATAGAAAATCCATCTATAGACCTTATTGACAGGAGAATTACCTCACAATTGTATGGAATAAGTAATCAGTGTGTTATCCACCCTTTTCACTCCTGAAAGGTCTGGTGACTCCAGAGACCTCTGAGGTTGTACTTAGCTCTTCAGTTTGCTCAGAGTTGGCAGATAACATTTTTTGTTCACTGCCAAACCAAGCTATTATTTCATCATACTTACTGAATATAAATGGAAAAAATGACAGTGTCATTAGTATTAATATTTAGAAAGTTACTGAAATAAGATTATTCTGAGAAAATCTTCATGTGCTGCATAAGGCCAAAGTAATCCTTTGTGAAGTACTATTTCTGGCTGCTACCTGTACTCTCTTATTCAGAGATGTCCATTGAATAGGTCAGGATGAGGACACAAGACCATGAATGGGGAATTAGTGACCACCACACACATTTGTACAGTGTGGGAGTAACAAGTTTCTATTACAACCAGTACAGACTTTGCAAAGAAATGGACATGTAGATACTAGTGAAGAGAGAGGGAGAGGCAGCCGACAGTGTGACTTTTGTACAAAACTTGACTTCTCAGCCTTTGTGTATGGAAGTACCAATTTTGCTCACAGTCAACTCCTAGGAGCTATGAATAATATATTGCTGCATATTCTAATGTCTTTCACTGTGTTGTTTAAATTTGTGAGTTTGTAGCTATAGAGTGGAATGGAATGGAGTGGAATGGAATGGAATGGAATGGAATGGAATGGAATGGAATGGAATGGAATGGAACGGAATGGAATAGAAGAGAATTAGGAGTAGTTTAGTTGCAGATAACCTACATTGATTGTAGTCCAAATGCCTGACCAATTCGGGGCTGACCAGAAATAAAAGCATGTTGTTAAGGGCACTGTCTAAATGTCTCTTAAGTACTGACAGGCTTGGGGCATCAACCACCTCTCTAGGAAGGCTGTTCCAGGATTTGACCACCTTCTCAGTGAAGAAATGCTTCCTAATGCCCAGTCTAAACCTCTTCTGGCAATGTAGCTTTGAACCATTCCTATGTACCCTAGCACTGGGCACAAGGGAGAAAAGATCATCACCTCCCTCTCCACTTCCTCTCCTTAGGAAGCTGTAGAGAGCAGTGAGGTCACCCCTAAACCATCTTTCTCTGAACTAGACAAACCCGGAGTCCTCAGCTTCTCTTTATAGGATGAATTGGTCTTTGAGTGTCACAATGAACTTGTCTTTGAAGCATGTGTGATGAGTCTGTCCACATAGAATGAATAGCTGTATGGAGTTGGTTCCGTTGCCTCGGTTCATGTTAATACTTGTGTAAATGACAGCACAGATTCTTTCCTTTGCATCCTGACATTTTACTCTTTGTTTATTAGATAAAAACACAGTAGAATAGATTAGGCATAACCAATGTTACCCAAAGATAGTTTAAGTAGAAGATGGCTGCATTTACTGGTATTTGAACAACTGAGGATTTGCTTACATTGTAATGTATTGCAGTATCTGTTGATCAGTGAATATAGTAACATTGAAATGGAGTGCCTTCACTGATGTTTTTCATGGAGTCATAGAATATATTAGATTGGAAGGGAACTCCAGACATCATCTAATTTGATCTTCTGCTTGAAGCAGATCCAGTTTGATAAAGCTTACCATGGTTTGCGTTGTCCAGGTGAATATCAGACTCTTCCAAGGATGAAGATTTCACAAGCTAGGCAGTCTGTTTTGTGCTTGACCAACCTCATGCCAAAGAAAAAAAAAATTCTTAATCAGAATTTTTCAAGTTCCAACTTTTGTCCCTTGTATCTTGTCTTAACCACTGTTCACTTCCAAAGAGAGTTTGGCTCATTCTTCTATCTTGTGATAAGGTAGTTGCAGACAGCAACTTTGCCTTCTCTGCTGAGGGCTGAACAGACCGGTGTCTCTCACCCTCTCCTCCAGCATCATGTCCTCCAGCCCTCTGACTTTTTTGGTGGCCCTCTACTTGCTCCATTTTGTCCTTGTCTATGTCCTTCTGTAGTGGGGAGCCCAGAACTGTGCTCAGGTGAAAATTAGGCTTGTCAATGTGGTCTCACAGTTGCTGGATAAAGGGGAGGCTTCTCTGGACCTGGTGGCTGCACGCTATTCATGTGACTAAGAGAGAACTGTAGGAAAAGGATATGGGCTTCTGTCAGGTATAGCAACTTTCATAAAACTGTGGTAGAACTGGATTCGCCTTTTTTCAGCTTGTTAAATCAGGGCTTTTTTGAATATCAATTTGTTTCTTTGAAGACTAATCAATGAATAATACTTTTTTAGTGAACTATTTGACTTACTCTTTGAATTATTGATTTTAGGGAAAATAGTGGTTAAATATTATAACTCTGCCAAGAACATAATTAGCCATGAACTTCCGAAGACAGTGGCAATCAAAGTAAAATAAGGCACTGTTTAGAAACCTATCAGCAGTTCTTAAAAATACTTCTATATGGAACATCTTTATATAAGGAGGTTTGTTTATGAACTGTAGTCCTAATTTAAGTGCATTCAAGACTTTTAATGAACGTGGGATCAATTAATGTATTGCCATATGGTTTTCCTGAACTTTACTAAAAATCAGTATTTCTGTAAAGGCATTAGGCATTGAAATGCTAATAAACTTTTGAATCATGATGAATGCAAAATTTCAGTCCAGCAAGAAACCTAATTTGTGGAGAAGGTAAGCACCATCCACTGAATTCCCAATTAAAGACAATAAAAGTATAGCTGAGGTAAGAAGATTTTGAAAGTGTTACCGTGTCTATTTAACACCTTCTGAGGACAAATGAGAAATTTACTACTTCCAATGGATCCCAGGGGTTTTTAGAAAAGAAAAATAGTTTCTGAAAATCCTAGACTTTTTTCTGTAAAAAATTTCCTTTTCCCCTGTGTAAACTAAGTGGCAAAACGAAGCGATGCATCCATCCAAGTGTTTTGTTACTCTGTAAGGAAAATGAAACTGAAATGTTGCTGTGACATTGTGCGTTTTATTACTCGTGTTTTGTGGAAGGTTAGGGCTGAGCTGGCCACTGAGCTAACTGGCTGATCTGAATAACTGTTGATGTGCTAGTAAAATGTGGTCTACCTATGCCTTGTCAGTCTTGGTTGTTGCTTGTTCCATTTGTGAAGACGACAGAGAACTCTGGATTACAAGGACACTGCTCACATAGATACCCACCACCTACAAAGGAAATAGACTGATGTGTCTAGATGAGAAGAACAAAATACAAATATTAAAGAAACCAGAAGACGACAGTGCAGGTTATATCTTCTACAGGGTCAGAAGTCCTTTTGTTTTCCGAACAGTATATTGATATTTCTTATAATTGCTATCATAGACCGTTTCCTTCTTGTAGGTGTCATGATAGATTCCTCCTCTGGAATATTGAAATGGGTATAAATGTACAGTGTAAGGGATTCCAGGCACTACCTGGAAAGAAAGTACTGAAAGGCTTGTGATGAGCGTATTACAGTTTTTGGTACTGCAGGCTATTGTTACTTGTCATGAACAAGTGAACTAATGCTAATAATATGCCTGTCTTTTCTTTGAAACTCATATCTGAAAAATTAAGTATGGCTGTAATTTCTTACTGATTGAGGTCTTTCAAAACACATAATTCTAGGACAGTCTGCCTAGTGTTTGCTGGCTACATTGCATAAATGTATGCACAAACAGCAAGACAACTTGTAATGGTTTGTGGAGTTTTCTGTGAGACAGAGACAGAAAATTAGAACCAGTCAGTTTGTTTCTTACCCCATATTTTTATGCTTGTATTCTAAATTTTGTTCTAAATTAAAGAATAATGGCCTGTGATAGAGCTCACTGGGAAATGATAGAGTAGCTCAGGTAAATACTTTGTGCACAGTATTAAATCTTCTTCAAATAGATGAAGTCAGTAAAAATATAAGATCACTGACAAGAGAATTAACTTTTGTGAATACTACCTGCCCTCCAACTGGATGGTTTGATGACATTAAAAGTTGGGTCTTAATTACTTCATCAAGCAAACTATTAAAGTAGCTATAAGAGAAACTGTTGTGGCTTACTATTTTTATTTATATTTAACCTATTTGTTATTTATGAGCAAATTTGAGTACTGATTTCAGTCATAAAAATATGCTGTAATAAATATAGCACTATTTAATATTATTTTTTAAATATTGCATTCCTAGATAAGCAAGTTTTCATAGTTACCTTTTTTTTCTGCAGCCTATCTATGTAGATCACATATTTTAATGATTTAAAAACATTGTAAAATCTATTTTCTGAGTATCACATGACTTAGCCACATCAATATTTTATAGGAATAGATTATGAAGCATGTTAGCAGCTGTCTACTAAATTGTGTTGCAGACACATCTTAAAAAGATCTAATGTTTTAGAA